ACCAATAACACCAGCGACATATCAATTAAGCCAGACGGTTAACAAGCAGTAAGAATGCAGATCATATGATTGCATTAAAATAAGATATTTAGATAGTGCATACTACTGCGGTAAAAAAAAAGTAAGTGAAAGTTAGCGCTGGTATTACGGCGAATGAAATTCGCAGTGTTATTATTCACAGAATGTATACTTTTTAGTTACGTACGCAAACGCACATCTACGTTACATAATTTAAAAAAAAAAATGTGGCAACGAGGCGTGCCAGTAAATTCGCCTTAAAAAAGTGAATTTTTGCAGACATAAAAAAAAAATCTACCGTAAACAACACGCGGGATTATATCTCTACTCAAACTTTCTACGTAGCAATCACGATAAGCACGAGCGTGTACTTGAAACTCCAGACGCACGATTTTCATGAATCGGGCACTCGCTCGAACTCTGGTGATAGTCCAGTCTCAGTCGCATTCGCATTCAAACAGTGGTGTCCTAAACCTACGCTTTGCTTGTTCCATCCCTCGTTCCTGAGCTTGAAGACCGATGACCGACACCCGTCGCTCACCTAATCCTTGTGCACACAAAACACACGTCCCACGTTAGCGTGTGCGGCCCACACCAAACACTCCTGCACTCCCTTTCAAGGTTTTGAGCACTGTATATAGTTCATCGAAATGTGTGCCTGCGCTAGCATAGCCTTCGATCCGTTCTCCCGTTAACGATGCCCACGTGGCGAGTGTCCCCCTCAAAGACTTTTAAAGGCTCAGCAATGCAAGGTGAAGCGTGTGTAGCGAATGTTGGCTAATAGGCCCCATTAAGCCGCTCCGATGACGGCGTGTCGGCACAGATGGTACGGCGGATAACAAATAATCGAAACGCGGAGCAGTGAGGTTTGAGTCGTTAAAGCGCGCGTGCGCGCGCTATGGAATGGGTGCGGCTCGCTCAAGACATACTTTACGCGTGCCGTGCTCGGCATCCGCTTTGGGATCAAGCGGGGATTAGGAAAGAGGTTTGCGTGCCGACACTGCAGATGTCGAGTGCGATACCCCCCGACTTGACTTTGTAATTTCATGAGATACACTTTGTAGTCCTCGCGTATCGACACGTCTTAAGCCTGGCTCACACTGCTTATACATCATACAAAAGGCAGTCGGCAAACAGACTCGAACGCAAGTCAACGCGATATCCGTGCTTCGAATGCCACGTGACAATGAGTTCAAGGAGGAAACTTGGCACGCGGCATTTGAACTACGGATATTGTGGTGATTCGTGTCTGCAAACTATCTCTTGTATGATGTATGGGGAGCGCTATGATCCCGGCCTTAGAGAGCAGCAGAGCACTTCACATGTTTTATTACTCACGCTTGTGTTTAGGACGCTTTCATAAAAATGAGAGCAGATTCCGTCAGTTCTCTACTAACGATCCTGACGGATATACGAAAGAAACAACGAACGCTCTTATGGCCGAATTGAAACCGACCTCCCGCGTTCCCTCCCCTCAAAATGTCTTTTCATCCATACTGCCGGTGGTTCAGACGATTCCTATCTGTCCATTAGGCTAACCATTCTCGACACTGGTCCCACTAACGATATCAAGCAGTAATTTGCGGGGCGCGGCTCAGCGAATGAAAAAAACGGTCTACGGTGCAACGACCGTTCATAACGAGATGTGACCCAACGATGCATTGGCGTTCCTGGCGCTTACGGCACCTGTACCCCGAACGTTCTTACCGGTTGAGACGCATGCCGTATCCCCCAGGGTAATGTCACACTCTGTCTTGTGTCGAGGAAGCACAAAGCGTAACTCAGTCCCTATCAAACAAGCAAAACAAAAGCCCTCAGTTTTGAGACGCCCGACCGCCGCCCGAAACGCGAGGGAGCCACGAAACAGACATACATTCGAGCTTCCTATGTCCGAAGGATGAATTTGATAACTGAAAATGTTTAAAGCTCCGTAGGTTGAGGCAGCAATTTTTAGGGGTCCTTCGTGTCCGTTCGGGGATTCTGCCTTGTCCGTTTTCTTTTAACTCTCCATACTTCCGTGTAATTCGAGATAAAGGCACGGGGAAGCGGATGAGGATCGTCTCTTTTTTTCTAAACTTGGCCGCTCGAGCTTCCCCCAGAGCTGTGCTTTGTCGGCGGCCGAATAGGTCGCCGGTCCTCCCCAGTGCCCGCCCACCGCCCGCTCGTATAAATGGACGCTTCGCGACGAAGCAGCACACTCTGCGCTTCCTTCCGACTCGAACGCTATGGAGACCTTCGTAAGTAAACGTCCATTGGGATCTGCGAGACGCTCGCGCTTTCTACCTTTGGTTCTATATCTCGGCGTGTGTTACGTCACGGTGAGCGATGCCACACCACCTAGAGAGCAAAGCGCCCTGGGCGTTTCGTGTCATCTACCTCGATTGACCGCGAGGCACAGAATGGGCGCGAGTTATGCGGACCGAGGATCGTGTGCAACCAGTGCTTCACCGACTGAACACGAGACCGAACGCGTTTGTGCCCTGGTTGAGGTAGATGACGTAAAACGTCCAGTGCGCAGGCCTCGCTATATCTACGTGGCGTTGGCAGTGCCCGTATTACAATATTTTTGTGCAGTCACATGACCGTTGGGCGCACCGTCGGGTTGTATTATGTTGTATTTTTGTACCGGTAGAGTGAAAAAGCTCTAATTAGTATTTTATTGTTTTCAAAATGTGTGTGCCGAAATGATGCCTAATAGTTCATGGTGAGCTTGTATCTAGCCCGGGGGGGGGGGGGGGGGGGGGGGGGGGGTCCACGAGCACCTTTATACTTCCTGTGTTTAGCTGGGTTTAAATTCCGGCAGGGGTGCGCGCAATTGCATGGTAGTTTGTTGCGGAGAACTCACCGTGCGTAACTGAGATTTTTGGATGCATTTGAAAAGTCCCCACGCATATTAGATTAATGATCAGTCATCCGCTGATGTGTTCCAGATATCCTTCGTTGGTGTGGAACATGCACCCTCAAATTATCCTTTTAGTCCCCCCCCCCCCCCCCCCCTATTTAGAGCCCAGTCAAAAAAAAGACAATATCAAATATCTGCATCTCCACCCAAGTATGGATGGACGGATGGATGGATGGATGGGTGGATGGGTGTACACTGCGCGACACTCTTAGTGTGAACACGACTGCGGTGATTTGTGCATTTTACTTCGAAAGGGTACTGGCGAGCATAAAATGTTGCGACTTAGCTTACTTTGAATTTTAACTGAGAACTCTGCACCGCTATAGTAGTTTTTGATGACAGTACTTCAGTACTGAGAAAAAAAGAAAAGCGACGATGGCTTGTTCGCGCTAACAGTGTCGCGGAGTGCACATGGCTGAACCTTTTGGAATTGGGTGACGGCTTGCGCCCCCTAGCCAGTGTTTTTGATATCATCCGCGAATATACACATTAGGGTTAAACCTTTTTAATGGTAGCGTTTATTAAACCTTCCGGTCCCTGTGACGGGAGTGCCTTTTCCTAACTGGATGTGCGAACCATCCGCACAGAGAATCGTCAGGAAACGAATAAGAAAATTATCCTTCCTTCCGACGACTCATGCCAGCAGTCGGATGACCTCTGCTTGGTTCTCTCCACTCTCCCAACGACTGTCCTCTCATCGCTCTTTTTAAACTCTAGTGTCCTTACCAAATCAGCAAAGCGAACAGCATCGAGCGGTGCATGGTGGCTAAAGTGTTTACCTCTGGATGAGGAGGGCTTGAATGCCCGTGCTTTTTAACACAAATGAGAATACTTTTTTTCTTTTTCATCTGTGGATTTCGAATACCGACAAATGAACATGCGTCACAACCCTGCAAAAAAAAAAAAAAAAAAAGTGGCTATTATTTTAATATAAATCAGACATAAAGAAAATAAGTAACAGTACATTTCCTCTTCTATTTGCGCTAATTCTGTCATTGCAGTGGTAATGAGTCAATGCTCAACGGGAAAAGCAAAACGAAAGCGCCAAATTGGGCTTATAGCGCCACCATCGCTAGCAGTTAGGACCTTGAGATACCTAGATGTAGGCGATGTCCTCGCGAGTACACATCGATTTCCTTCTGCTCGACCATTTTGCGAACTTGGGCGACCCACTAGCGTCGACGAAGGTCAGGCAACCTTGGGTCCCACCACGCCTTCCCTAAGAGTACCGACGAGTAGTTCGGTCCTGGACAGAAACAAGAAACGTCCATTAATCTTGGGTACATCTTATCACTAGTGGCGTCGAAATGGCATTGTACCGAAGCCAAGCTGCCACACAACAAGGCATGAGTCAACTACAACACGCACAAGTAAAAAAAAGGCTCCTGCCAGGTACGCGGGCTTAATTGGAACGTTTCTGCTAATCAGGCATCTGCGAGGCTCAAGGTTAAACTAACGCCACTGCGAACCGCCCACGGCCACGGGCTGCCACCAACTCGAAATGACGATTAGGCCTGCCAAAGGCTCAAACGAAAGAAACAGACCCTGAACCAATTCTCCCTCGTCTGACAATCGTACGCGCTCCTGCTGCGTCGTTTCGCGTGCATTGAAAACCGCATACTGAACGTATAGCCGTGGTAAAGGGAGACAACTTTTCGATCAGTCACAACAAATGCGCCCGAGTGTTGCGCGAGTGGGTTACAGTCACGATAACGTCGCTGACCGCGCCGCAGAAATGTGCACACCCACTCGCAACCCCCCACCCTCCTGGCTCCTAGGGAAAATGTGCATCGTGCGTAGAGCGCGGCTTCAACCTAAAACGTGGTGTCAAATACCCAGACGCAGAGGGCGAGGGACACTGTCAGGGTACCGCTGCTAATGAGCTCACTGAGAGATCGCATCGGTTCCGTGCCCAACTCGCACGTTTACAATCAGACCCGTGTAGGCCCGGAATTCCGGTGCAAGCCAGACGCATTCATGCCTTGTAGGTATCCGTTTCCCATTGAAAAACGGCGGAGCTTTAAGACAAAACAATAAAAAATCGAAATAACTAATTTTGCTTTTATCGCTCTCTTTCTACATGTCGCAGGTCCTGATTGTGTTGGGCCTGGTGGGATGCACCTGTGGCGGCGACCTTGACTACGCGGGTGGCTTTGGCGACGGCTTCAGTAGTGGCCTAGGAGGCGGCTTCGGAGGAGGCTTTGGAGGTGGCTTTGGAGGTGGCTTCGGAGGGGACTTCGGGGGTGGCTTCGGCTTCGGAGGCCTTGGAGGTGGAGGAGGTGCCGCCCTCTCCGTTCCTCTGGCAGCATCAGTGTCTCTGGTCAAAGAACCCGTGGTCAACGTCGGCTATGTGGCCCGACCAGTGGTCAACTACGTGAAGCAGCCTGTGGCTTCCGTCACCCATAAAATCAAGCCCGTCTTTTCCATAGACCACGCCATTGTTGGGAGCGGTCTTGCCTTCGGCGGCCTTGGCGGCGGAGGTCTGGGCGGAGGCTACGGAGGTTTCGGCTATGGCTGGTAGATCACGCCAGGCAGGGCGCCAAACAATCTATAGTCAAGCGGACGTCGCATCAACACGCTTGGACATCTCCGAGAAGTCTTGCGTGCCACCGGACAATCAATGAACGGGTACAAGACGAGCAAACAGTCACTAGTTAGTGATTCACACATCGGCATTTCTGAAGAAAGTGAGGCCTCAAACATTCGACGTTGGTAGTGCATCGTGAGTGGTCGGATGTGGCAAATCGGATTTAGTCACTTCGAATGAAGTCTCGTTTCATGGGAGCGATCGTTACTAGGCCTCACAAGTATATCTTTTGATTTCTTATTTTCTTTTATTCCTGTATTTCTGTGAATTCGTTTTGTTGTGCTCTTGTATTGAATGAGTTGTATGCTTGTTCTTCGGTGGAAAACTAAACATCATCATGAAGGCCGTCCAAAGTACCTGACCGAAGTTGACGTCGTATATGTTGCATATACGAGTGTATGCAACATACAAGAGTAGCAGAAAAAAAACTATATTCGCTCGATCGTCAATTTCATGTCATTTACAAGTTATGTGATGCAAACTAATCTTTTTTTCGTGGCGATTCATGTACGCACCAAGTTTCTCAAGTTTTCTTCCAAAATATAATTATGGAATTTAATCTCCAGGCAACATTATTTGCAGCAGCACGTTGGTGGTTAGGTCAACGAAAGTGCGAAGTTTTAGTATAGTTTAACGCAAAAACAAAAAAAAGAGCGACATGTAATTAATTTCGCGATGAAATGAAAGGAAACCATATACGTGCGGGAACGATTGTTTTTAGAGTTGAAAAAAACAAATCTGCACCATGAGAGTGATGTGTCGCCTAATCCACAAAATCTCCGACGATAGCCGTAAAAACAAAAACGCTGAATAGGAACCATAAAAATAAGAAAAAGTTACATTCTCATTAGGTGTTTAGCAACCTTACGATTCATCTGTCAAACCTTCCAATAAAAATGAACTTTTCGCAACGTCGAGCTGTCCTACTTCCTTTCTGCGGCATCAGGGAAAACGTCTAGTTTTCACCAGAACCAACTCGCTTGACTAGAAGCACTCGGAGGGCTAAAACACACACACACACACACACACGCGCGCGCGCGCGCGCACGCACACACGCACACACGCACGCACGCGCACGCACGCACGCACGCACACGCACACACACGCACACACTAACACACACACAACATAGTATATTCTGCGTGTATGTTTCCCCGCGGAGTACGTTGCAGCAGGGAGCATTTAAAATAAAATACTTCGTTCGTGCGCGCTCTTTTATCAACTTTTGTTTTTCTCCCGAGAATAGCTGCGTTCGGGGAATACTATCTTCCCCGGTTCTGGCTATATTGTGTGGGTTTAGATTATTTCGAAGCTGACCAATACGCTTTGATACAATCAAGGAGCAAAATGCAAATCGGAGGAAATACAACGCCACGTAATAAACCTTCCGCGACCCTGGTGTTTAAAAAAAAACAACCTCGGCGGTGTTTGACCACAACACTCAGACCTGTAAACTAATGAAACAAACAAACGCCAGAACACCACACGGACACCGCCAGTGTAAGAGGCCCTGAAGCGTTTCGTCAAACGACTACAAACAATAAATACGTTAAATGGAACATAGATTCGTCGTGATAGGAGCGTTGTGGACGGTTAATCTACGGAGAAAACAAACATGAATAAATGCAGTCTATGTTGCTAAACAGCTAATAAAAAAACAACAAAAAATACACCCTCTTGTTAAAACAAAAACAAACAAAAAACACATGTAACGTTTTTGTTGTTGTTTTTGTTGCTGTTCTTGCTGTTGCTGTTTTTTTTTTGTTTTTTTTTTTGTTTAAGTTGGGCATTGAACAGGGTGTGCCGTGACTTTTCTAGTTTAAACCAATTCACTTTTTAAATAAAAAAATAATACCCCAGCCTCGCAGGATCAAGAATAAACATGCTTTATTATTGCAAGTTCGGTACTCTTTTACCACTCCTCTGAAAGCTAACAAGATTCCTTTTAACCGTGCGTACGTCGCGCCACACAACGGCTGAAAAAGGCATTCACGCCAAATGCCATTTACACCCAATGAAGTTCTTGAAACTCCGTCGGCCCTTCGATAGGTCTTTAAATACATCTTTCTAGCGTGCGTGCACTGAACAAAGAATTGGGCTATAGTTATATATTAGTTGCTGTTTTCTAATAGTTTTGCCGCCCTCGTATACTCGCACGTTCAAGACACATTTGTGGCATGTTTCTTCGACATAAATCACAACAAAGATGGCGCAGGGAAGGCAGGAAGGCGACAATAAGGAAGCTTGATAGGCAGAAGTCGGTGAATATTCCGCCGCAATGTTTAAATGGGCCCTGGACTAGAGAAGATGAGCGCCTATGATCAGACGAAGCATTTCATTTCATTCATTTCCACCTTTAAAGGAGCGGTTAGGGCATTACATAAAGGGGGGGGGGGGGGCAAAATGTGTCGAATAATGCAATAGTAACGAAGAAACAAATATTCATGATTCGTTAAACACATTAGGTTTACCTGAGATTCGTTTAATTGGACAAGAGCTATTCAGGTGGGAAGATATTTTATCGGGGGATGAGAGGAGGGTGCATTATAGCTCTAGGCAGCGGTAGTAAATTTTATGAAGAAGGGAAGGGTGAGAAAGCTTCGTCCGGGTTTGAAGGGGTGCAATTCCAAGTTGACTTTTTAGACAAGAAATACAAGGGGAGTAGTCGCAGACGAATCGGACGGCTCAGTTTTGGGTTGACTCTAGATGGTCCATTAAGTAGACTTGATAAGGACTCCAGATGGCGGAAGCATATTCTAATTTAGATCTTACGTAGGTTTCTTAAACCTCTTAGATTACGACTGATGAATCCGAGTGCCCGGGAGGCTTCTGCAGCAATAACTTCGATGTGAGGTTTCCATTAAAAGGTCCTTGGTCTTATGCAAAAATATTTATATATTGGAACAGCTTCAATCACATCTTTGTTAATAGTATATTGAAAGGTTATAGACCTCCAAGGGAGGTGACGCCACCCAGCGGAAAAGATGTAAACGACAGAAGCGGAGAGTTATCGCCTATCCGAGAGTGCAGCGAAAACTGGCACAGCCTAAAGTTTGAAACGGGAAACAAACAAAAAAAAAGGATTAAATACACGAGGTTTGAGTCGCGAATACAGCTGAGACGTGGGTGCTTCCTGTTGGTCCAGCAGACACATCATCATCATCATCATCATCATTTATTAAAACCTTGAAGGTCATTGCTGGCATTACACAAGGTGGGTGTAACTGCTGAAGAAACATATAAAGCTATCACTGGACATTAGGCGCCTCGTCTCAAGGTCATTCGCTTTTCAGCGCGCTTCCTTCTACTATTATTGACTAAGAAACGGTTACGACGTTGCAGCCTTTAAAACATAATTTTGTTTATCTTTTTTCGCCAATATCTGTATCGCCATTATGGAGCGACTGCAAATGATACCACCTAAATGCCAGTAAAAATAAAGTTTATCAAGAAACATTTTAAGGGTGTTTTCGCATCTCGAAGGAGTTCGACATTAATGCCATTGGAAACATCCGTGGAACAGTGGCATAAGACAAGATGCCATATATACTACAATTACTATCCACCTTTTTCCTCTCGGCTTTCTCGAACAATTGCAACTCGCCGTCTTGAAAACAGGAGAACAAAAAACAAAATATAATACGAAGTCAATTCCGAATCCTATAGCAAGCAGCAGGCACATTAAAATAAACCAATTAGACGGCGAGGTTACCGACTGCGTCCATTCATCATCCTTTAATTCTTGCAAACTGGGGCGACAACAATTTCACGGCTCGTTTCATTTTCCATTCGCAGAATCGTATTGGTTCACGCACGAATCAACAAAACAAAGCTGTCATCAACAATGCGAGGTGCGATTTTTTTTTTCTTCCTGTAGAGCTTTGAATGCAATCATGAATGGGCAGGGACTGAACGCACCAGCTTCGTTTATTTTATTTTATTATATTTTCATCTCGTGAGCCGTCTAGTTTTCTAATCATTGCTTATGTCCTTGTACGCTTATCGAATAACCGGAATGAAAGAGACTATTTTAATTGTTTTTGTTTCTTCTCAGGGTGCGCTGCGGTACGAGATTTAATTTTTTAAGGAAAGAAAACTTGGATTTGTGGAACAGAAAATTATTTTAAAAAATAATTTAAAGCGATACATTAATTTCGTTTTGTTGAAATGTGTTGCGTTTTGAATGTGGAATCACCTCTAATAATTTGCAGTGTTCGCACAAAGTGTTGATTACGTTTCTGGCACTGCGCCATTCATTTGGAGGAATGCCGAATGAACCAGATCCGTCGTCGCGGCTTATGCTAAATTTTGAACATATAATGACATGGGCAAAAGAAGAAAGAATTGTGTTTGTCAAAATTTTGACCCAATTTTGCAAAACTCCGAAAAACACCTTCCGAATTTGACGAAAAAACTTCGAAAACACGGAATCCAAATTATAACTAACAACTACTATCACAGTTGTGACCTTTCCGGTCGATTAACTACCAAGGAAATTATGTTCATAAGACCCGCAACAGGTGCGACGACGAACAAAGAGGCAAGGAAATACGTAATGCCTTCCGATCTTCTGCGTGATAACGTTATGTAACAGCCGAGCACGTCGATAATTCGATTTCGAAAGTGGCTCGTTTTACGCGCACGAACTGACATTCGCCGTAGCGACAGAGACGTTTGCTTTCTCCTTTTGTTTCTTACTTGAACTCTATAGGATCCCTATAAAGCGCCTGGACTAAATTGCATGAGCGTCAAGCCGACATCAAGCTCACTTTCGATTCTACTATCAAAGAGAATGTAAACACTTGTCTAGTAAAAAAAAAAATATGTTTTTTGTTTGACATCATTTCTTTTTTTTTTTTTTTTTTTTTAACAATTGCAACCAAAATATTAGAATTGCATCTAAAATATGTATATATGAACTTTGGGTATATAAA